GCAGGAAATGGAGTGTATTTCTGTATCATATTACAGGAGGAACAGTCAGCTGAAGACTGAGATTTGTTGCTGTGCAGCCTGAAACTGAGGAGTCATGCAGAAAATCAAGGTATGGCCAGTTTCAAAGATAGAAGGGCAAATTCTTCTAGTGGAGTAGGAAAGCAGAATGTTGATACAGCTTTCGAAATCCTTCTTTTTTCTTCGGCAGAATTAATCTTGTCTTGCTACAATCTGGCTTCAACTGTTCACTCTATTTTTAGTTACTGATCTTAGCCAGGTCCTCAAATAGCTCAGAGCTGGTGTTGTTTGTGTCTGATGTAAAACTGATGCAGATTTGGTTGGTATTTTCATTCATGTTTCATAATTTTCCATCTTGCATATATAGAGACAGTGTCTTTGCATTGAGATATTTGTATTGCTGTGGAGTAGATCAGACCCCTGTTGTTTGACACATACACTGGTCCTCATGTGACCACAAAGAAATAAATGAAAACATTTTAGGGCAACTGAAGTTACTTATTTACATTTAGTTGCAGAGAGGTGTCACAGTTGGATAGGTTCAGGAAGCTCCCTCATGAGATTCGATAGGGGGATCTCAGAGTAACTCTAAAGTTTTTCTCTTATTTGTGCATTAAGTACTTCATACAATCTTGTATGCCACAAAATGACAGTAAGTATGAGGTAGAAGTAGTGGTTTAATCTGTCCTTCAAGGAAACCATTAATTCAAAATTAAGCCATTAAAGAGCTTTTCAAATATCATAGATACAAAGTTCGATTTCACAAAAGAGAGAGAATATGTATGTAGGACATGCAGGATGTTTTTATTGATCAATTAAGTTAAAATAGGCACAGTGGAGAACAAATCTACCAACAAAAACTGTGAATAAGATCATTAATATTTCCTTATAAAGTACTCATATCTCTAATTGCATTACATTGTTCTTACACTGGTGTGTATAAGAAGGATCATTAATGTCATTTAAAAGAGCTGATGAGTTAACTTTTGAAATAAGATTTCTCTTCTATGAAATGATTCATATTTTCAGGCATTGTAGGATTATAAATTCTCAGATTTAGAAAATCGGAATGTAGTTGTTAATTTTGGTTCTGTGTCTCTGAGAAATGCATTCAGCAATCCATACAATATTCCTGCATTCTTGTTCCTTTAACTTTACATAGGCATAAAACACTCCAAAATGAAACTGGTTGTTGAATGCAAGCACATTCAGCTTTACCTGCAGAAAAAGTGAAACAAGTGTTATGATAAAATATCAAAGAAAGTAAATGTGATTTTTATATGGTAGCTTTAATGAACAAGATTTCTTTGTAACTTTGCAACTATGACTATATTTAGAAGTCTCTTGAGTATAAATGTAATTGAAATGTCATCTGTGGATTAATTTTGGCAATAGACTACAGCAACATTACAGGAAAAAAAGGACAGTGGTGAAATAGCTTCTTCACTTACTACTCAGAAGAAATTTCATTAAGTGGTTTATATGAGATGGCTTTTGGCTAGGCTGTCAGGGTTGACAGCTCTATAACTAGTCTTCAAAATCTTCAAAAGAATGTACTAGTAATAATTTTATTTAAAAAGGTAATTCCTTCTATTATTCTATTCAGCCAAATGTTGACAGCCACAGAAAATCCATGTTCTTGAATACAAAGCTTAATGATGCAGTATAGTAGTATCAATAGCCTAGTACCTCATTCTTCTGTTGAATATTATTCCAGATGGATAACTTTCATTTTGGTATTTCAAGGTTAGAAGCTCTTACCTCATATTCAAAAAAGGCATCTTCCAGTGTCTTTTCACCAGTGCCACTCCCTACACCTTCAAACACAGCCTTGTATTCCTGAAAGCATAGACATCCACTGCATGGAAATAAGGTACTTTTGCATTCTGTGCAGCACAGATACATTAATTTATTAACTAATCTACATTAAGTAATCTTGCTGTATAGAAAAACTCATGTATAGATTACAATTCTACATAAATTAAAATTTAAAAGCATATAGTCAGCAAAAGAAAGAAAAATCATATTTGCTCTTGTATTTCTTATCATCATTTCCTACAATTTAAAGTACTTTACTGAAGGCACTAGAAGAGACTTATTGTAGAATGACACGTGACCTTTCACTCCTTTGGACAGAGAGCACTGAACTTTTTGTACAAACAGTATCCATCAGAGCCAGAGCTGTAAATGGAGCCAAAATGCTGAACTCTGATCCTCACATGGCTGCTCATTTTATTTCCAGTAGTCAGCTGGATTTGTTTTACCTGCATTAATATTGTCTCCAAATCCATTAGTCTGATATGTCATGCTGGAATATCCTGTGCAGATATATTTGACTTGATTTCTTATGTGTTGCATTCCTGTGTAATTTGCTTCTCTTTGTCTTTGGTTTGTTTTTCCTATAAAGTAGGAGTGCAGTGTAGTTCCACTACAATGGTTCCCAAATTCTTCTGAATATCCCACCATGGCACAAATAGTATTGCTCTATACCCCCTTGACATGGTGAGTCATGATTCAAACATTCTGTTTATGCACAAGAGCAGATGTATGGTTCCAGCTTTGTGGAAAAAGAATAGACCAGACAGCATTTTGGTTTGTGTACCTACTTGGAGGTAGCTTACATATTATAGGTGGAGTACAACAGTTAATTCATAGATCAAGTGTTGCAGGTTGATTAACCTTTAATAACAGCAGTATTTGCAGCAATATTAACAACTTCATCTACCTCTTTTAATCAATCAGCAATTTAGGGAAAACTTTTCAGTTTTTTCACTAGCAATAAATCAGGTTTGCACAGTGACATGAATTGTTTGGTCAGCTCACTTGAAATGACTTATGTCTATTCTCCAAAATCTAGGAGGCAGCAGATATGAAGTGAAATTCTGTTTGGGGAGGGTTAATGGATTAGGAAGAGTTTTGTTTATTAGGATGCAATTTGGTCTTATTTAAGCATCATTGTAAGAGGAACCTTGTATTGCACTAAGGTAATAATATACTTTATGTCTTCATATCAAAGGCCTTCAATTCCATCGACATCTTTATGAGAACTTTTTTTCTCTCTCAAAAATGCTTCTAACTTACGTGAACACTCTTTACAATTTTACTGACATCAAGAGGTGTTAAGTATTTGTATTCCACCTTTTTGTTTTAATGAATTAGTCTACATACTGCATAGTATTCTGCAACACACTTCACTTGCTCGTAGTCATCTGCATTGGCCAACAGGTGTAAGCCTTCTGGATACAGTTTTCCACAGGTTGGATACAGCTTCTCTCGGTCATCTTTACTCAGCTCAGTGCCGAACGAATTAATGGTGATGATAAAGGCACGTCTGTCTGCCTCAAACTTAATATGCAAAATGAAGAATAAAAAGGTGTTATTCGACATCTCGTTCTAAATTAAGGTGGGGATATGCTGGGGATTTTAGTAAGCCAAACTATGGAAATAGTTAAAATAAAATAGTAAAGCGGACGCAAGAGCACTGGAAAATTCTCAATCCTCCTTTGCAAATATGTGTTAAATTTTAACTGGAAAATCAAACAGAGTTTTGCAACCACATCTTTTATTCTGTGATTTTTGTACTAAAAATATCATCTCTGCTGCTTCCTCATTTCCCTGCTCAGTTACCCAAATGCTGACAACAAAAAAATCTCCTCCACTCTTGCATATAAATGTATGAAATAATACTCTGATAAGTAATAATAGTACAGTATAGAATGAAGAATCGATAGTACTATTCTGGGGTAAATTAAAATGCTTTTGATTGTAAATGTTGAAAGGAAATTCTGAAAAAATATAGTTTCTGAATGCACATATTTAAAATTATAATTTAATAAGGTGGAGTGTACTGTTTACTTGCCAATTTCAAGTGTTTCAAATAACAGCTAATGTTTTATACATAGAATGAGAGTCCATATTTCTTCTGCTGGGTTTAGATCCCTGTAGTATCTGTATTTTCCCTGCAGCACTAGACTGAAAGTCATTCCAGTGTCTAGATCTCAGGATGTTCTTTTGTACAAGGCAAAATTTCACTTGCCATTCTTACAGTACGAATTAAAAAATAAATATTAAATACAAATTATCTTGCTTGGTTCTGTCTGATTTAAATCTTTTCTTCTGTCTTGAGATCTAAATTGACTATGGTTTTATTTCTCTCCTCTATTACTTACTCTCATGTTGTAAGAACAGCAGAGCCCTTGCTAATTGCAGGGATTATGCAGGGAAAGTCTTCCAAGAGAAGCATACACAGTATATGCACATTTTAAGCAGCTTGCAAAATTTCTTATGCTGTGAATATTTGAACTATTTCAAGCAGAAAGATACTCTTTTCTGTTGACTAATAAGACTGCAGTTGTAACACAGATCTACCACTTTAGCCATTAACACATATTCACAGATCTTCTCCTGTGTACTTGAACACACAATGACAGGAACCAGCCACTCTCTGGCACTGCCTTCGGAGTAAGGAAAATGAGTAAACAATAGAGAAGTAAACAGTAGAAAATAAGTGTGCTTGAAGAGATTTCTGGCTAATGAATAACAGGGCCATATTTCACTTGCTTTGTTAATATGAACAGGCATATCAGCCCTAGTGAAACTGCTTTGAAAGGACAAATGCTTTGTTTTTTTAACTTGTTCAAGTCATGTAGGAAAAAACTGTTAGATTTGTAATATTCTTCTGGTAAAAAAGTCTGCTCAGATGCAATTGCAACTAATGCTAGCAGGTTTGGGTCTGGCTTCTGGTAGCTCCCAGTTTGAGAAAATTTGCAGGGTCATTCGCACCCATAGAGACCTCTCAATTCATCAAAATATTGGCACATGAGGTTCTCTGTAGTGAGTAAGTCCATGAGGCGGTTAAAAGGTGACTTGGACCATCTGCAGGTAGATGTGGAGTCAGAGGATGACCATTTCCTAAGTGTTTTCATTTCCATATGGGAGACTGAAGTAGCATGTCTGCTAGTTCAGAGTTACCAGGGGGCCCCAATAACAGGCACTGCACTAGCTGCAGTGCAGTCCTGCAGTTTCTTCCTAGATTCAGGGTTAAACATGCAATGTATGTTGTCCATGGAGGAAGAGAGTTCACCAGTACACTTACTGTGGAAGGTTGGGACTGCGACTGGTGGTCAAAGAGTTGGGTAGCTAAATGCCTTAACCTCATTCTGACAGAGTCAGGTTGGTTGTCTTACATATAAGATTGCACAATGAATAGCAAGGATTCTTTTGAATAATTAAACTTTGGCTTTTTGTGAATCCAGCCATTAGCAATCTGCTCTGTGTGTCTTCAGATTATTAAAATGCTGTAGTAAAGGAAATCTTCCACAGAAAAGTTTATCCTCCTAGCTGATTGACATTAGATAGGGATTTTAAAGAAGCTTATCATAGACTAAATTGTTACCACTGGTATAAAGACAGTTTTACAACATGCTTAAACTAATGTTGGTAAGTAATCTGCTCTCAGCATGAATTTCTAGCTAAAAATGAACTTCCTGAAGAATTTGAATCAACTGCTGGAAACGTCTTTACCTATTCCAGCCAATCTCTTGATTTTTATTTTGCAGAAAAGAATAGTCAAAATGCTGAAATTTTGTTCAATTAAACTTGATTAGAAATATTTTGTTTAGAATATAAACTGAAACATTGTGACCTGGTTGAATAAAAGATGAAATTGCAATTGCTTTTAGGACATTGTTTTGTAAAATGTAATTTAGACTTATTCTTCCTTCAGGGATGAGCTCCCAGGGTTATTATCACTCTCCTAGAATGCAAAGTTGTAGTGTGATGTCATTAGAGCTCAGTGAATTTTGTTCCATTTCCAGGGTATAAATTTTGCTTATGCAGAAAAAAAAGACTTCAGGAAGCAAATGGGTGATCTAGCTCTCAACCCCTGCAAAGAATTGTGATAGACCATGTGGGGAGAAAAAGAAAAAGAAGAAGGAAGCTGAATGCTGAGAACTCAATTTTAGAAATTTCTTCATCTTTTATTACAATACCAGAGAAAAAATATTTTTCACTATGTTGCATGTATGCTTTGGGGAGAAGGATGTTAGGAATTTTGTATGTCATGGAAAAAAAACATTAAATTTTTCTGAGCTGAGACAAAAATATTACATGGAACACTGGACTTTTTTATATGACGGTAGTTCCAAATGTCACTCAACTCTAGCTTCATCCACTAGTTTTAATAGGAGAGTAGATAAACATAATAGTGCCATGAAGCTTGAAGTTTATTGGTCAGCAATTCAGTAATGCCAGATCTTAGCTATCCTAGATTTAATTTTGAGCTGTAGGAGGTGTGACAATAATTGACATTTTTAGTTTTTCTACATAATGCAGAAAAATGTTACAGGCAACAGTCTGAGGTTAGTGAACCATTTGTTCCGTACGCTGTTATAGAAAAATATTAACTGAGACTAGCTCCTCCCTAGCACTGGACTAGCTGCTTCTCTAGTCAAGAAGTAAAAGTCGTCCTAGAATACAGTATTCATTACATCTTAGAAAAACAGGTATATTTAGAGGAGATCAAATGTTTGAAAGAAAATTTTGCAAATGGAGAGAGAAGGAACAGGAAAAGCAAAGTAAGAGAATTATGACAAGTGTGAAGTACTTTCATATACAGGGACTGAATTTTTCTTACCTCAAGAATAGGCCTCATTATTTCTGCAGTAGTACCACCTTGTTTTTCGCAAAATTTATAGAATGCCTCGAGATAAGACTGCATGAAAGAAGAGAAATATTTTAAATGCTTTTTAAGACCTGGACCAGGACAGCACATAGTCATGAACCTCATTTTTAAATACTTCCGTTAACTTTGATGATTCCACCCAGGAGTTTAAATTCAAGTATATGCATAATTACTTAACTCAATTGAAAGTTGAAATACTAAAATGCAAATGTCTCATTATTACAATTTAAGTTCAAATGTTTTCAAAAATTGTAATAGGACAAATATTATAAGTGTTCCTTAAAGAAGGAAGTTTTTGAGCACCATTGAGCTTCCCCTGCATAATAAGCAGGCAGCTGAAAGAAACTGCATTTATAGTGTGTGGAGGAGGGGATTTGGGCATATGCCACAGCTGTTGGGCCAGCACTATGAGGATACACAAACTAATCCCTACTGCTCTATCCTAAACCCTGGATTAGGACTGAACAGCAGACGAAGCTTCTGTAATACTGGTCTGCAGAGCTCTCTGGTCCATTAAGGATTCTGACATTTGCACCCACTTCAAAATACCTGTGCAGGAAGGACAGCAGATATCTCAGAGATGCTGTTCCCTTTGCATCTCCATCCCCCAAATTACTGCCTTATGTTATCCAAATGTATTTGCTACAACTTCATACAATCTTGTTAAAAGAAGCTGTCACTAACTATGCAATTAAGTGAATTTTAAGTAGAGACATCTCAAGGGGGATCTACTGCATGGGATTATGCATTAGATTCTGTATAGTGCTGTCTGATAGTAGAGCTGAAACATAATTGATCGCATTGGCAGCTGAAGCAGAGGAGAAAGGATATATTAATAATTTAGAAATGTTTGGAGAATGATCCCCCTGATACTTAGATGAGCAAGAAGACAAAAAAGATAGATTTAATAAGTGCAAATTTAGGGTCACTTACAGAGGATATATGAATCAAATGTGTATGTTATCAAATGGAAAAAGAGTGTCTAGTTTAATAGCATTGTGAAAGAATTAAAATACATGAAAAAATTAAAGTACTCGGGCATAACTAACGTTGTTTTGAGTGAGAGAAGTAGCAGAATATTTAAGAATAAGAAATTGACTTGGGAATTTATAAATGTCATTTGTAAGACAAACAGAAGAAAATTTTTTTTCCCCCTAGTGCAGCCAGATCACTGTAAGAATACTTCCTGCAGTCTGGGGCATCCACTGTGAAAGAAAGATAACAAAGAATTTGGAGAGAATGTGCTAGGAGCCATTAACGTAATGAATATGTATGGTCTTTAAAGAGACCATCTTAGGAGTAGTGACCTGTGTGTTAAAATTTGTAAAGTACTCTGAAAATTCAGGGGACATGTTATACAGCAGTGTGCTGTAGCAATGCTAAAGAGTATTTTAAAGGGAAAAAAATTATAGAAAATCCTTAAGTAAAAATCATGTTAGCTAGACTCAAAGCAATTAGACATTTTCAAATCATATCTTGCTTATATAAATAAAAATAAATGTTAGCCAAAAGCCTGTCTAGGCTCACTTAGGAACTAACAGTTCTGTGGCATTTGGTGGACAACTGAGTTACTAATAAACAAATGGATCTTGCTATTAGCCTGACATCTAAAGCATTTTCATTAATAAGATATTAAATTAGAATTTGGATGCCGACCTAAAATTTGAAAACTCTCCAAACAGTAGAAATGAAAGGAGCTGTATTTGATTCCTGGATGTGAAATCAACCAGATGACCTCAGACAGCTTGTTTTATCTCACCATACTTCTGTTTCCCCATCCATAAAACAGGGTTAATGTTACTGACCTCCTTTTCTGAGACACTTTGATAAACCCCAAATATTATCCTTATGTTGCAAAAACTTGCCTTGTACAGTTTGTTGCGCATTATTTCAATGTTCATTTCATCCAGGTCGTTTTCAGACAAGCAGTCTTGAAAGAAAGCAGCTGAAAGCAGAGTTTATAATATTAAAGTATAAATCTATATGCTGATAATATGCATCTCCTGTCTATTGCTCACCAGTGTGTGGACAAGGATCTGAGATTTCTGTTGTACAAGAGAGAGTGATATAACAGAGAGAAAGAGAAATTCTCTTGATTTCCCCCTTATCCTCCTACTCCCTCCTTTTTAATGAGAATCTGCATTGAGAGGAATCAATCAGTGCAGCAGCCAGAGTCCACATCTCCAGAGAGAATCACATGGGAAATGCTAATGAAAGCCCTAATCTTCTCTGAAGTATATGGTTTGGGTATTAGGGAGATTTTGTAGTGAGGAACACGAAAAATAATTTTTGTATGAAATCACGCAGGTATGCCAGAATTGTTAAGGAGAATCCTCTTTGCTGTTTTCCCTTTTCTTTGAGTATGTCTGTAGCAGGGGAAGGACAACAGGTTGCAACTGGTGAAGGGCACAAGCTTTGACCTTGACCATCTGTGCTTCTGGATCCTCTGCAGAACTGGCTTTTGAGCAGGGAGCCAGTGGATGTAGTTCATTTGTACAGCTGGACTGCTTAAAAATAGTGTATTCATAACCAACAAAAGTGTGCCAATCTCTCACTGTTCCTGAGTTATGCCAGTGGAGCAGAGCAGTGCTGCATGTCAGAGTGTGGTCTCAAGCAGTGGCAATGGAAGATGGTATTTAGGAAGAACATGTGAGCCTGGCCATATTTTGTGGTCTTCTCCCTTGCTGCTCTTCCAGCATCCAGATTTTGGATGGAGAACATCAGAAGGTGTGGCTCTGAGAATTTCCTTTAGTGTCTCTGTGTAGATCCACTGCCTGTGGATTTGTCCCATCATTTGAAAGACCTGATACTACTTCTTGTTTTTAAAAACTTGTTTAGCAAACAAACCCCAAAAAACCAAACCAAACCAAACCAAAACAGACAAACAAAAAACAATCCAGAAATTTACTACCAGCTGTGTAAAAAAAGTAAATTAGTTTACCTGTTTTAAAACTAGTTTTCTGATGGGATTTGGTCTTCTGAAGGATTTGGTAAGCAGTTCGTAGCTCACTGTAGACAAACCACTACCCTCAGGACTCTCTAAACCTTGTCCATATCTCTCATCAGCTTTGTTTGCTCCAAACTGGAGTCCAGCCTTTCTAGTCTGTCCACACACAGCAGCACTGTTCATTTCAGCTGTCCTGCTCTGTACCTTCTCTGATTTCACTGCACAGGGTGCCAGTGCCCAGGCACTGGCTGGGGGTGCTGCCTCTATGAAGGAAAGCCAGGGCTGCCCCATGCTGGACACGGCCAGTTCCAGCTGGGACCCGTGACAGGGCACAGCCAAACCCCTCAGCCAAACCTAAAGGGGGCCTACCCAAAAGCCAAGTTAGGACTTTGTACAAGGGCAGGTAGTGATAGAAAAAGGGATAGTGGCTTCAAACTGAAAGAGGGAAGGTTTACATTAGATATTAGGATTAAATTCTTTACTGTGAGGTTGGTGAGACACTGGAACAGCTTGCTCAGAGAAGTTGCAGGTGCCCCATTCCTAGGCATGTTCAAGGCCAGGTTGGACAGGGCTTTGAGCAATCTGGTCTAGTGAAAGGTGTCCCTCCCCATGGCACGTGGATTGGAACTAGATGATCTTTAAGTCGCTTCAAACCCAAACCATTCTATGATTCTAGGACTCTAAACTCTCCCTGCTCCTTGTGACACTCATTAGCTCCCTGGAGGGATCACCTGGAGTGGTAACAAGAGGGCAGAAAAGAGGTGCCTGGAGTGAAGGAGTGGCAAAGGCTGGAGCAAAGGTGTTTTCCCTAAGTGTCTAAATGTTTCATGCTTTTCTGTTTGTTTCCTATCGTCTGGATCGGTAATTGATTATATCATATATGTGTTAATCAACAGCAAATCATTTTCCCCAAGCTGAGTCTGTTTTCCCTGCAGCAGTGCTTTCTAAGTAATCTCAATCCACAAGCTCTTTTTTTTTTCTCTTTATCCCCACCATTCCATTGTGCTGGGAGTAGGGGGTGAGATAGTGGCTGAACGAGAGTTTGGTTTCTATCTAGGGCCAACCTACCACATCATCTTGATAAGAAGAACCCAAACCCACTCACAGTACTGAAGATGAGGGCACATAACTGTTTCACATATGTTCAAATCCATCCAGTTTCATCTTTTTCTCAGCACCCATCCCAGCAGTGTCTCACAGCTTAGTTTTTGTTTGTGTTGGCTGCCGCAGCACATTGAACATAGCTTTGTCTTAATTTCATAATGTGACATTCCCAGCCTTCACTCTGTTTTGCTTTTAGAATTTGATTCTTCAAAATAGGACTTTTATTTGTGTTTGAGTCATGCCTAAATCTCAAGAGGGGATCTAGGTTCTACCATAATATCTAATATTTATTAGTATCTGTCTGCTCTATCCTTAGTGAGGATACATTTTCTAATTATAGATGCTCTAAATCAGTGACTATTTTGTGTATAAAATATATACTTTACACTTCTTCAGTAGCATATTTTCTTTGTGTCTGCTACCCAAAGCTGATATAGAAACTGTTAATAAGTGTTGCTAGAATATGTACTGAACATCACTTCAGAAGTGCTTGATCCATACTTCATGTTTTATGTTATCAAAACACTGCATATCCAGTGGGAAACATGCTATTCATAAGAATACAGGATGAGTAGTTTCAAGAAGAAAATAAGAAACAATTTAGTGTTTCTACCTAATGGTGTATCAACCAAAATTGCGTTGAAGAGCTCAGTGGGATTTGAGGCAATGCTGACTGCTTCCATCTGCTCAAAGCTCCCCAGTGGATGGCACTTGGGAACAAGTTCAGCTATGGGTCGCTGATGTAACGTGCCAGTTATTAAAAGAATAACGTTGTCAATCATGTAGCTGTATCTGTATTTGAAAGGAAAAATAAATTTCAATTTAGAATGAATTTTCATTTTAAAAAATACAAACCTAAGCTTTTTGAAAATCAGCAATTAAACTAAAGTATTATTAGTATGCATGTTCACTCTGTATCAGTATCTATTAAAAGTCTACAGAAATTTTTAAATAGCCAGTAGGTAACAACACTAGTTTGAAACCACACAACTGGTTTGGAAAAGAAACATTTTTAAATAACTAAAATATGGACATAATAAGCATAAGAGCTGAGAAGCGTAGATATGCTACAACAAGTGACTATGAGTGGTATCAATAAGTAAATGACCTGAGCTAGCAGCTTCTCACGTTTGGGATTTTGTTATTTCACATAGAGCATCTGGACAGAAAAGTGCATGAGAAATTCAGCATTGGGCTGCAGAGTTCACGCAGATGATCCAGTCTTAGGACTTTGTTCTCACTCAGCTTTAAACATCATCCCATGAGGAAACTAAGAACAGGTTCTCACAGATTTCTTCTTATTGCTAAAAGTTTTCTTTTCAGAAGTTTTGTATCAGTTTCTTACTAGTTTTACCTGTCAAAGAGACTGATAAGGGTTTTGTCAGTGACTTGGAAGTGGGACTTCTATTCTCATGGGATGCTTATAACAAAGATGCCAGTGTTCATCTTGCATTGTTAATTGAGTGCACAGCTAGAGACATGCAGGGATTGATATAATCTCATACAAAAACTGTGAGTGGGGCTTGAAGATCTTGTGACATGTAGTTCAGTAATTTCAAAATTGTGCTAAATATCTTAAACTAGTGTCTCCACTATTAAAAGAACAACAGTGTGCAAAGGTTGTGCATACACACGTACACATTCATGCCAATCAGTGTGAGCAAAGACCTGTCATAATTTTCGTATTTTCACTTTTATTTCCCTGAAGCAAAATGTAAACATTTTATGCAATAGGTCACAGGTATCCTAGGTCAGTCTTTAAGATCCTGATTATACATTAGCCTAAAACTGTTCACCTACACATGACCAAAATAAAAATTAATAATGGTACTTCAATTTGTTGTTATGAAAGTAAGCTGAACACTCTATTGTTCTGGTTAAAATGTTAAAAAGAAAAGGTCAAGGAGAGTAAACAGGTAAATTATCCTGCTGGCATATTGCTAATTCATTTTGTTATACTATTATAAAGCAAATCCCTGTTCTTAAAGCTGTTTAAGCCATTCACTTACAAGTTTTGTCTGTTTATGATGGTATTGAGATCAGAGCTTTCTCTTCATCTGACGTCAAACAGAAATTGAACTTTAAAAAACACTGCTTGGATCTAAGAATCTTGCAATATGAAGCATAAAGTTCTTCTGTTTTGAATGTTCCAATAGCATAAAAAGTATGGCAGGTGTAGGATGTGTTATCTTTCCCCCTTTTAAAAGAAGTCTGGAACTTGCCACGTGCCTAGGAATTAAATCATTGCCCTGTACATCATGAAATTACTAATCTTGCATCAGTCATCTCCCGGACTTCAGTTTTGCAAGTTCACAGACTTAAATTATGTTTGAAAATTATAACCATTTTTCTAATTCTCTGCCACTTCTCCTGCCACTCTGCACATAAAATATCTGCTTTGATTCTTTAAAATATCCAGTTGCAAAGACAACAGCCCTTCATACATATATAGTTTCAAAACTTATATTAACAAATAAAGCATGTAAAAGTTGCAGTAGCAAAGTAATTTTGCTGGTTTTGAGACCTAATAGAAATTCCAATGTGATGCTATGCTGGTTTTGGCAGGGGTAGAATTAATTTTCTTCGCACTGGCTAGTGTGGGGCTATGTTTTGGATTTGTGCTGAACACAGAGTAGATAATATAGAGATGTTTTTGTTAGTTCTGAGTAGTTCTTACACAGAGCCTTTTCTACTTTTCATACTGCCATGCTGGCAAGAAAGTTGGGAGTTCATGAGAAGTTGGGACGAGACACAAGCCAGGACAGGTGACCCAAACTGACCAAAGGGATATTACATACCATATGACATCATGCTCAGTGGGGGAAAGAAAGAGGAAGGAAGTTTGGAGTGATGGCATTTGTCTTCTCAAGTAACCATTGTGCATTACAGAGATGGCTGAACATGTACCTGCCAATGGGTAGCAGTGAATTCATTCCTTGTTTGGCTTTGCTTGTGTGTGTGGCATTTTTTTCCCTATTAAACTGTCTTTATCTCAACTCGTGAGTTTTCTAGCTTTTACCCTGCTGACTCTCTCCACAATCCTGCTGGTGAGGGAGTGAGTGAACAGCTGTGTGGGGCTTGGCATCTGCGTGGGGTTAAACCACAACAAATGCATTTACACTATTTTAACTTGTAACTGGATTTTTTTTTGTTTTGGTTCTGGTTTTTTTATGTATGGTAAACTATGTGGTAATATTACTTACGTGATAAAATTGAGAAAAGTGGCAAGTGGTTCAAAAGCATGGTTTCTAAAGTAATGAAATTCTGTAAGTAGTTTTGCTTTCAGTTTATCATCAATGGTGGAAATAGTGAGAGGGCCAGTTTCATTAGCCAAGAAGTTGCCATAGTCTGTAGTCTGTAGATGTAACTTCAGATCTGGAATTAGATGCAGGGAAGATCATGAGATTAAACTCTCATTACATTTTCTACAAACCAAATAAAAGAAAATCAAATGTTAATTTCTAACATATTTTCATATTAAGTGTCTGATCATTATCTATCAAAAAGGGGTTTTGCATAGATTTAATATAGTTTAAATGCAAAATTAATGCACATTTATACTGCCTTCTACCAGTAAGACTTACTGCATGCTACAGGAAAGAACAAATAATTTATGCCTTTGTCAGAAATGTCACCAGCAGTTTTCATTTTCAGCCATACCACACAGAGTATTGCTACTACTTTTTCTAGTCCCTTCCCCATCAGGTTTGGTCAGTGTTTTGATTTCATTGATTTGCACCATTGTAATGCATCAGTTGTTTGGTCTTCTGCACTCCTATGGACTGTTATGCATCATCAGGAATCATCCTTTAACTTTGTTAAGATCTTGAATTTTTGTATGAAACATTTAAATTTCAGGTAAGATTATAATCTATCATCAGGCTGCCTGAAGAAGAGGAGAGAACATGTCTTGCCTGTCTCGCATTCATCTGCAATGAAGCTCTTGAAAGGGCAGGGTTACAATCTCAGCATTTCTGGTTTGGCTTTGTCTGATTTATGGGTGCAATTAGAAGATCCAAAGAAGCTGTTCCAGAAACTTGGATTATTATGACATACACTGTCTAAGCTCTTAACCATGGTGACTGAGGAAAATGAGTTGTTTAGACCACAAACTTAAAAGAGGCTGTCATGATATCAGTGAATTCATTTGACAAATTTTCTCTGCTAGCCATTTTTACCATGAGGCAAAAGTAAGAATTTGAGTAAGTTCTTAGTGTTCAAAACACATTAACATTTCTTTTTAGAAAAGCTCCTGTTCCAATGTGTAATTATGTTCAAATGCTACTGTAAATTATAGATTGAGATACTGTAATATGATTTGGACATTCATAATAATTAGATTTCCATATAAAATCTGAAGTGATAGTTATGGAAAAGGATAGCAACACTCCCACTGACTGAAGTAAGGGTGTACCTGCAAGGGAAGTCAATTTAGAGTTAGCAAGGTATGCATTTACCAGTTCAGTAGATAATTTTTCCTGTTTCCCAGTATGAATACTTTCTTAGTATGCAATAAGGTTGCCTACAGTAAGACTTAAAGCAAAAGAACAAGTACCTTTTGAAGTCAAACTCCTGTGTCTAGCACTCTAGCTTCCTAAGCTAAACCTGAGTTTTCTATGCAAGTTGGCTGCCACTCAAGGTTGCTCAGAACCCTGTCCAAACCAGCCATGAACATTTCCATCCTCTCTGGACAACGTGTTCCAGTGTTTCACACTGTCATTGTGAAAGATTTCTTCTTTATATCTAGCCTGAATCTATTCTCCTTTAGTTTAAAAGCATTACCCCTTGTCCTATTGCAACAGGCCCTACTAAAAAGATTGCCTCTATCTTTCTTGCAAGCTCCCTTTAGGTACTGAAAGTCTGCAATGAAGTCTGCCCAGAGCCTTCTCCAGCTCAACAATCCCAGCTCTCTCAGCCTTTCCTCACAGGAGAGATGCTCCAGCCCTCTGATCATCTTCAAGACCCTCTTCTGGACTTGCTCCAATAGGTTGATGTTCTTCCTATGCTGGGGACTCCAGAGCTGGATTCAGTACTCCAGGTAGGGTTTCACGAGGGTAAAGTAAAGGGGAAGAATCAACTCCCTTGACCTCCTGGCCATGCTGCTTTTGATGCAGCCCAGAATAAGGTTGTTTTTCTGGACTGCAAGCACACATTGTTATCTCAGGTCCAGCTTTTCATCCAGCAGTAGCCCCAGCTCCTTTTCCACAGGTCTGCTCTCAACTCCTTCCTGCTGCAGCCTGTGTTGATACCAGGGATTGCTCTGACCCAGGTGTAGCACCCTACACTTGGCCTTGTTGAACCTTGTGAGATTCCCATGGGCCCAGTTCTTGAGCTTTTGTAGGTCTCTCTGAATGACATCCCATCCCTCAAGTGTGTCAACCACACCACTCAGCTTGGTGTCATTTGCAAATTTGATGATGGTGCACTCTATCCCACTGTCTATGTCATTCATGAAGGTGTTAAACAGTACTGGTCCCAGGAGGGATCCCTGAGAGGCACAACTTGTCATTGAGCTCCATGGGGATGTTAAGCCACTGACCACTATTTTCTGGATGTGACCATTCAGCCAGTTGCTCATCCACTGAATAATCTATCCATGAAATCCATATCAAATCACATCAACGGAGTCTTGGATAGGACAGCCTTACTCAGCTAGTGCTCTGGAACTGTTAGCATTTCTCTAGATCTTCCTGCAATAGACTGAATTTATGCTACCGGTGTAAACTAATTACTTGTTAAAATGATACAGATGATCACAAAAGTGTTTACAAAAGAAAGCAGAGGTAATTGATCTCTCAATGGTCAGAGCCAGATTCTTGGAAATAGTCATGGTTTCAGTACAGGCTTCCATGTAGAATAAAGAGAATTCAAATATGAAAAAACCCCAGAAATCCACTTAATTAAACAAAGAAAGGTAAGCAAGATTAAGAGATAAAAATGCAGTTACACCCAGAAATGAGTCTAAATATGGAAGTTGAAAATTTTTACAAATCACTAATATTTTGATTTCAAATTTACATTTCCTGTGAAAACTTCATTTTTGCTTTCTCTTTTTTGTTGCAAAGAATATGAAAATACTTGGCATATGGTGTGATTAGATAATACTACTTTATTACATGCAGAGAGATGAATTCCAACTTTCCTCAATTCCTTTTCAGATGAAACACAGATATCTTCCTTTAGTCTCAGTCTGTAAATGCCTTTCAAACACAGTGGATTTCAGGTGTTTACTACCTAAAGCAGGCTGCAAACCCCAAATATCAACCACTGACCGTTCTGAGGTGTGCTTAACATATCATGAGATGAACAGAAACAAAACCTGCTGATTGAGAGTAGTTTGACAGGACTTTGTCACCTCATAAACCATGGTGGCTTCATAAACCATGCTCTAATATAAAGCAATTAAAGTATTAGCTATAAGACAATAAATAACCTTATCCAGCTCTAAAAAGCTGTGGAGGAAATGTTAGACCCAGGAATACTGGATTAGTAACCCTCAGTTCCACAGACTGCTTGATAGAAGTATTTCTTCTAGATGAATTAATAAATGCCAACATGTACACTGTATGTAAGAAACAACATTGAACTCTATCTCTTGGCCTTGGCCAAAACAATTGAGGAAACAGTCACCCACAAGTTCCAATATCATATAGTATCAGTCAGGAATGTCATAATCAGAATTCACATCAGGGCAGAGTTCAGTGCAGCTCAGAGGCTGCACTGCTGGTCTTAAATCAGTGTCTTCTCTTCCCTGTTAGCATAAATAAGACCTGGGGACTAACACAGTCAGACACTTGTACTAGTAGCATGACCTGGTGACCTGACAGTAGTAGATGGCTGAGCACTAAGCACTACAAGGGCCTTGGACATTTCTGTTCACCAAAACCTTTTAGTGATGGTAGCTGCTCCTTTTCTTGGGGCCTCTTGGAGACCTACACAAGACTCTGGGCTTTTCATCATGTCCACAAGATCCCTAGGAAAGAAAATTCCTGTATTTCAGGTGTCAGTATGATTGCCACCCATCTGCATTGTGTATTTCTTCACACAATTATATGCAGGAAAATAGCATGTAGTAAAAGTGTGATTCCAAATAATGTGATTTTAAGTCACATAATTTTACTGACAATTGAACAGCAACCAAACACAATTAGCAGTATGTCTTAAGGGAATTAGTGTGAAGAGAGAGACTAGTTTAAGATGAATGCAGTCAAGACAGGAATGATCCTGATCAGAGAGAAGTATTGTGGGAACTTGTACAAAGTGTTAACCTGGTCTCTTGGCATTAAGCCAGCGTAAACTTGACTGACTCCTCACTTTGATAGCCAACTTGATGTGGTTTTCTTTCAGTTACATTGTTATTTCAGCCACTGCATGCTGGTGGGTCCTGACTCTGGCAAGTGAAGTGAACTTATTTCAGTGATGTTGTTGGGAGCAGAGCTGGGATGCTTCTCCTGCTATGACCTAGACTCCGTTCTACAGAACAGTAAGCTTTCCATCACACAGGGAAGCAAGGGAAGAATAAAGCACTGAATTTTACACTCCTCTCCATATTATACTTCAAAAACTGTCATTGAGGTTGCTCTGGAAATCCCATTCCCTAGAAGCAGATGAAGACATACAGCCAAACTAGTAGCATGCTGTGTTGCAGAGGTTTCAGCCCACAAGGTAGATCCATGGAAATTATGGTAATTCATATAAGCCCAAAAGGATGGGGCTAAATTAAGCTGAAGGCCTCTTGTCTTCTCTGTATGGCCCTGAATTAAGAGGATGAAGTGGTATCATAAGTCAGTTAGCAGCCTCCTGGTTTTCTCTCTGTCTCACTCTTATAATTGCTCTGTCATTATCAAGGAGATGTACAGTATTAATCTACAGTTTTTCTTGTGGTTCTTTGGTAATGACATTATGGTTTCCTCTCTAGAGATATCAAACCCTCTTTGAAATTAAAAGATCTTTTTTATTTTCTTTATGGATTACTTTGAGTGGTTTTGAATTTGTTTCTGCTTGTTTGTTTTAGCATATTTATAGCATTTTTAACTTAGGCCATTTTTTTGTGGTCTGGTTCTATACCACAGAATGAAGAATGGGGTAAATTTAATACCTTTTAATTTGAAGACATGAATTGAAATTGCTATTGGACATACACCATAAGTCCAACAACAAATCCACTTGCTGCATCTTTTAAATTGAAACAAAAGACAATGTATGAAATTTACTTTAGAGGTTAGGGGTCTGTGGTTTTAGTGTACTGTGCACTCATAGTGCGAGTTCAATATTATTACTTCCTATATGTGCAGAGATATTTGTGTTTAGCCTCCTGTACAAATCCAATATTTCTCATATTTTCACTTTAAATAATATATTTGGTAGGTAACTGTGGTAGTCAGCTGTCTAACGTAAGTAGAAAATGTTACAATGGAGAAAAAAAAAGTGCCTGAATAGAGAAAAAAGGGAAGTGGTAGTGGGTAGTGGAGATGTGCTTATAGGAGGGTTGATGAAGGCTGCAGCTTCTGTTGCTGAAATAATTTGCATTCTAAAATTGAATGAACACTAGAAAAAATAGGGTTCAAAAATTAAAAAAAAGTTCTTTCTGTTATAAATCTTTATTAGAAAAGGATTTTATCTCTCTGTTGTGATCTGTCCATCTTCTGCATTCTCTGAATAATAGTGTAGGTTTATATAACTCATAAATGTTTGAAAACTACTTCCTGGTGGTAAATAACTTTCTTGCAGCATGACAAAATT